AAAAAAAAAAAAAAAAAAAAAAAGATGGAGGAAAGTCAGGCAAGTCGGCACACTCTGTAATCCTAGCACTGTAAGACTGAAGCAAGAGGATTCCATTTGAGGCAGCCTGGGCAACTTCACTAGACCCTCTTTCAAAATAAAAAAGGAGCTGGGCGTGGTGGCGCATGCCTGTAATCCCAGCGCTCGGGAGGCTGAGGCAGGAGGATTGCTGTGAGTTCAGATCAGCCTGGGCTACACAGTGAGTTTCAGGGCAGTCTCAACTACACAGTGAAACCCTGGCTCAAAAAATCAAAACAAAAAACAAAAAAAGTCAAAATAAAAAAGGGTGGGGATATGTGGCACAGTGCTCCCTGGGTTCAATCTGCGATACCACCAAAACTAAAAACAAAAAATGCTGAAGGGAAAATTAAAACATTCCTGGATAAATAGAAGTGGAGGGAATTCATTGTAAGTGGATTTCCCCACAAGAATTGTTAAAGTTCTTTAAACTGAAATGAATAGTAGCCTGACAGTAACTGGAAGTTACATAATGAAATAAAGAATACCAGTAAAAGTAATTACATATACAAATGTAAAAGTAAATATTATTGTGTTTGGCTTATAATCACCATTTTTCCTATACTGTCTAGAAGACAAATGTATAAAACATTGATTATAAATCTATGCTACTCAGTACATAATATATAAAGGTGTAACTTGTGACAGTAATCACATAAATGGGGATGATAGAGTTATATCTATCTATCTATCTATCTATCTATCTGTCTATCTATTGGTATCTGGGATTGAACTCAGGACCTTATGCTTGCAAGGCATGCACGGTGTCACTGAGCTATACCCCTGGCCCAAGTTATATATTATTTGTATACTGTATGTATATTTTGCATATCACTGAGGCTAAGTTGCACTTAATTGAAAATAGATTGTTATAAATTTCAAATGTTAGATTTAACACCAAACATGACCACTGAGAAAATAACTAAGACATATACAGAAAAAGATAGGAGAAGAAATAAAATTGGCTCACTAGAGAAAAATCAATTAAACACAGAAGAAAGTAAAGGAGAAATTAGAAACAAGACATAAGATATAAAAAACCCCTGTAAAATGGCAGAATATGTCTTTATCAATTTTTTTCTTTTGTAGTGCTAAGGATTGAATGCAGGGCCTTGAGCATGCTAGGCAAGTGCAAGTGCTCTACCTCTGAACCATACTGCTAGAAATTTCTTCAAATATATTAAAAGTCAAAAGGCAGAAATTGGGCAGAATGGATAAAGAAAACAAAGTAAGCAAAAAAGACTCAGGTTGGGTGTGGTGGTGCATGCCTGTGATCCCAGTCTCAGAAGGGTGAGGCAGAAGGATTGATTACCATGAGTTCAAGGCCAGCCTGGGCTGCACATTCACAGCAAGAAGGCAAACCTGAACTACACAGCAAGACCCTGTCAAAAAATAAAAATAAAAAGGTAGCTGAATGAGCTTGGAATTATTTCTGCATCTTC